CCCGCAGAGCCCCCAGCTGCCCTCCCTCCGCCTCCTCCCTCCTTACTGGGCTCAGCCTCCCTATCCCCGGTGCCCCCAGAATGGCAACCAGGAGAACCCCTCCTGCTGTGGCATCGACGGCATCCTGGAAGCCTACCACCACAGCCTGCGCACTGTGCAGCTCTACGGCCCCACCAACTTCGCCCCTGTGGTCACCCATGTGGCCAGGTGAGTGCCGGGGCCGCTACACGCGCATCCCAGTGGCTCACACAGTGTTCCCGTCCACGCCTGTCCTCTCGGGAAGGTGGCGGTGGGGTGGGGGGGGCGTCTCTTCCATTGACTCGCCTTTCAGGGAGCCCTGACCCTAAAGAGATACCCCTCCCCAAAGTGTTGTGGGGCGGGGAGGGGTGCAGAGCAGGCCAGACAGACTGCAGCCCCCGCCCCCTCCCCCAGGACTGCGGCCGCAGTGCAGGACGGCTCCCAGTACTCGGTGCTGCTCATCATCACGGACGGGGTCATCTCGGACATGGCGCAGACCAAGGAGGCTATCGTCAATGTGAGCTGGGGGTGGGGGGGCATGCCTTCCCACTTCTTTAGGGAAGCCCTTGGGACGAGCCTTCCTGGACAGTTTAGGGGGTGTAGGGGTCCCACTGATGAGCTCTGTACCCACCCTGGGTGGTCTACTCCCTCCTGACGCTTATGGCCCCCTCATTAACCCATCTCTAGGACCGCTGCCCCAGACCCCAGCCCAGCCTGGCCAGGGCGAAGTAGGAGCCCAGAGTCGGGGAGGCCCAGGAACTTGGCTCCCCCTACTGGATGGTCTCCCTGTATAACAGGCTCCAGCCCCCGCTCACACTTCTGGATGCCCACATAAAATGTGTCCCACTTGATGGAGGCCCAGAGACAGAGAGGGGATGGGGGTGTCTCAGAGAAGCCTCCCTGTGACCCATTTCCCCCTCCTGACCCTCTCTTCCTCTCTGGGGCCCCATGGCTGTTTCCCTTGGTCCGTGCCCCTCCCCCTCTCCCCTTTCCTGTGTCTCTCTGTGTGTCTCCATCCTTCTGTCTTCCATTTCTTCTCTTTCTTCCGTTGACCCACCCCTTTCTGTCCCTACCCCTGATCTCCCAGGCTGCCAAACTCCCCATGTCCATCATCATCATCGGCGTGGGCCAGGCGGAGTTCGACGGTAAGTCCCCATCCCCCAGATGTTTCCCCAGAGGCCTCAGGCCATTGGGAATGACCCTTCCCCAAAGAGTGAGAGCTCATGGGTGGGTGTGACCGTCTGGGTGAGCAGGCAGGGTGTAAGGGTGTGTTTGTTTGCACAGGGAAGGGTGTGTCAGGGTGTGCACCCATACCCATATCCCAAGGCTGTGGGGAGGAGGCCCGCCCCTCCTCCCTCCTCCAACCCTGGTTGCCTGCGGAGGGTGGGGGAGCTGGAGCACTGGGCTAGAAGTCAGAGACTCACCATGTTGGGCTCCTCCTGTCTCCTGGCCTCAGTCTCCTCATCTCTAACGTGGGGGTCTGGTCTGACGGTCTCTGTCCTGGATTGGCCTGGGATTAGAGGACAAGTCCACTGTCCTGCCAGGCCCAGGTGCCCACCATTAATTCAGCCCACCCCCAATGCCTCTCCTCACACAGCCATGGTGGAGCTGGATGGTGATGACGTGCGGATCTCCTCACGGGGGAAGCTGGCAGAGCGGGACATTGTCCAGGTGAAGCCCAAATCCTGCCTGCCCCAAGGAAAATGCCAGAGCCCCTCTAGCCAGGCTGACCTCATACCCGCTTTTAGAGACTTCTCTGGAAAGGGGCCTTGGAGGGAGCCCCAGAGTGGCCTGGCCACCAAAGAAGGGAACAGGAATCGGTCCTTGGGTAACACTTCTCCCCCCGGTTGAACCCCTCCCTACCATGTGTGAGACTCTCCCCGCCAATGTTGTTGCCCTGACCAGAATGCTCTGCCAAGATCTCCCTGAGCCGCCAAGCCTCCATGGTCTCCTGCAGAGCACTTATGCCCCAATACTTGCACTTTCCAGTGTCTTCTGCAGGGCTGCCTTCCCAGAGAGACGGCAAACCCCCTGGAGGTGGAGGAGGTGTCTTTATGGCCGTAACCCTCTCCAGGAACGGGCATTGCCTGGTTCATTGGATCTGTGTCTTAACATCTTATGTAGGATGGCACATGTAGTGAGCTGACAGGTGTTGGTCCTCAGGGCGTCCCTGCCCAGTCAAGTCTCAATGCACCTTAGTAAGCACTCCTGTCTCTGAACCTCCTGCAGTGTTCAGGAGATTGGGAATAAAGACTGGCATCCCCCAGAACCCCTGGGTTAAAACAATGGCAGTGGGGGAGGGGTCATTCCAAGGTTGGAGACCAAAGTTAGGAGGCTAGACCCCAGAGCAGGGGCAGTCTGGGAGGGGGGACCCATGTATGGAAAGGCCTGGAGGCAGGAGTGAGCTGAGGCACTCAAGGGGTTGGGAGGGTCACCCCCTGGGAGGAAGCCAGAGAGGCCCGACTTTAGGTTTTGGCCCAGAGACGGAGGAGGAGAAGCAGAGCAAAGGAGACAGAGAGGTTGGGGGAGATGGGAAGGCCGGTTTCCCAGAAGCCAGGGGGTTCATCCAGCATTTTCCTAGCGCTGGCTGAGTCCCTGTGCTTGGTGCCAAGACTTCAGAGCTTAAGAGCTCCTGTTCAGGGGTGCATCCTGGCATGGGATAGGTGATCTGTAAGTATCTGTTGAGCCAATGAGAGAACAGCCTCTCAGTATTCACCAGCAGGCGGAGGGGCTGAGTGGAGAGGGCAGAGGCTGGGGAGGCGTGGGACAGGGGCTGGAGACTGGGGGGAGCTGGGGTCCAGCTAGAGACCCGGCCTGACCGTGCCTTTCCTTTGGCCAGTTTGTGCCCTTCAGGGACTACGTGGACCGCACGGGCAACCACGTGCTGAGCATGGCACGCCTGGCCCGCGATGTGCTAGCCGAGATCCCTGACCAGCTGGTGTCCTACATGAAGGCACAGGGCATCCGCCCGCGCCCCCCGCCTGCGGCCCCGGAGCCCTCACCCCCACGGTCCCCAGCCCGCACCCCCCCTGCCTCCCCCCTGCACACACACATCTGAGCACTCTTCCTGAAGGCCCCTGGCCTGTGGCAGGCGGCTCCCTGGGTGGGGCAGTGGAAGCACAGCTGGGGTCCCCAGCCCCCCTTAAAATATGCCATGCCTAGCCTTTGTGTGTGCCTTTTGTGTGTGCCTGGGAGGCCAGCGGGGGACAGGGCCTCTGAAGACTCCTCTCTCATTTCCTGGCCTCAGGGCCCAAACCCGGGGAATTGGAGGGTAGGGGTGGTGGAGATGAGGTTCCGGGCCCCTGCCCTTTTCATGTCCCCCTGACACCTGGTTCTAGCCCAGCCAGGAAGGGGTTAATGGTCAGGAGGATTGGGGTCCCCTTCAGCCCACCTGGGCAATCCCATCTGCTCCTCTGTGGCCCTGAAGCCTGAGCTGGGCGTCTCTCCTCCAGGGCCCTAGGCCCTCCCCTCCTCCTGTGCAGTCTACTCCTACACCTGGACCCTGGCCCTCCTCCCCCCCAGTATCCCCCCCATCCCTATTTCCAGTGAACCCTGTGAGGCTGATGGGTCTGCAGGGATGCCCGAACATGTGGCCCCTCCCAGGACACTTGCATGCCACGGGTGCCCAGTGGACCCATGAAGGGGAGGCTGTGTGGGGAGGCCATAGGCCACATAATGGGCTAGGAATGGGGGCTTTTCAGGCACAGAGTCCTTTCTGGTGCCTCTCAGGCCCAGAATGACACTGGTTTTAGATACACAGATCCACAGGCCTCTCCCTGGTGTGGGCCCACAGGCACCTTACAGTTGACTCCTGGCTCCAGGCATCCCCTTCTCCTGCGGCCCAGGGCCCTTGGAGCCCAGTCCTCTGCTGCCCCCCTGGAGGCCTTGGAAGGAATAGTCCAGCCCCAGCACTCCCACACTGCTCCTCTCTCCCACAGGGATAGGAGATAGGAGTCCTGAGTTCAAGCCCTGCATACAGCCCCTGCCTGTGGGAACCCAAGGAAGGCCCTTCTGCCTTCTGGGACTCAGAAGTAGGGCAAGAGGGTTGACCAGATGGTCCCAGGTTTACCTTCAGCTCTGGTGTCTTGAGAGTCCATTCATGCCATGCCCAGCTTCCCCCATCCCACTCCTCAGCAGTGTGACCCCTTACTCCAGGCCGTCTTGGCTCTTAAGGTCACCCTGTTCCATCCTGTCACCTCAAGTCCACCCTAGTCCTTCAGCCTTGGGCTCTGATGTCTGAGCCCAAGCCCCTGCCTCTGCTGTGGGGAAGGTGAGAAGGGTGATCTCACCCCCGGGCCCACCGAGCTGCCCAGCCTTTACCCACACGGGGAGCAAGTCGTGCATGTCAGCCCCTCCCGCAGCATGGGGCTCCTCAGCCCACTCCACATCCCATGTCTGGGTGGACACCAGGCCCCCTCCCTGTCCGCTGCCCCACACCACTTCCCTTCCTGTCATGCATGATGGTGGTGTTTCTACGCTGTCTGGTCCTGTGCCCGTCTCTGAGGCAGTCTCTTTGTGGAATTTGCCTTAAACTGAAGTAAACTTGGTTCTTTTAGTAAAGTTCCTTGTTTTCCTTTCTCCTGTGGAAAATAGCAAATGTGTTGCTGTTTGACAGGCTCCGGGTTCTCCTCACTGTCTCTCTCTCCCATTCTTTTGTTCGATAAGGATTTCCTGAGCAACTACGATGTACCAGGGCCTGTGCTGGTGACTCGGGATGCAGCAATGAACAAAACGCAGGCCCTGTCCCCACACAGAGCTTACAACAGACACACAAATAAGACAGGGGAAAACCCAGTAAGCACACAAACAAATAGGGATAACCTAATTTCAGGTGGTGGTAAGAGTTACAAAGACAAATAACAGAGAAGAAGGGGCTGGAGAGGGACAGGGTGGTATTTTAGATGAGGTGGTCATGGAGGGCCTCTTTGAGGAGGCGAAGGTTGAGATGAGCCCTAAGGAAATGAGAGAAGGAGGCATGCTGGTATCCAGGGCAGGAGGGCTCCAAGTAGAAGGAACAGTGAGTGCAAAGGCCCTGAGGTAGGAGCATACTTCATGTCAAGGACAGCAGGGAGGCTTGTGCTGTTGGAGCTGTGTTAAGAGGGGCGGGGTGGGGGGATAATTCAGGAGATGAGATTAGGGAGGTGAAGAATCCAGAATGCATAGAGCCCTGTAGGCCATGGTAAGGGCTTCAGCGTTACTCCGAGTGAAACGGAGCCAGCTAGGAGGTGAGAGAGGTAAGTAACATGATCAGATTATTCTCGAAAACAAGTGGGTCACTTTATTGCATTTGATCACTCATTGACTCATCGCTCCACAAGTATTTACCGAGCACCAGTGCCAGGCCCTGCTCAGGTTTGAAGGCACTGATTCACACACGGTTGCACCCTCTGAGAGTGACCCCTACTTTGGAGCAGTGAGCAAGGAAATCCTACCACCCTGGGCTACCGATGCCAAGCCTGTGGGAGGGGCCAGGGTCTGTGGGCACCAAAGGGGCGCTCCTGGCACAGCCTGGATGACTCACAGGCCATGCGCCCGGGATCAGTTCCTGCTCCTGTGGGACCGTTCCTCTTTCCTTGCAGGATTAGCGTGTGGCCACACTGCGGGGCCTCGAGATATGCCCACATGAAGTGTGTGATGTGCACAGACAGGAGGCACTTGAGCACAATAAACACCACCTCTCTCCTCCTGGTCCCTCTTCATATATAAGTCACTGTGGCCATCAGAGCCCAGGATCACAGGGAAAGGGGACTTCTCCCTCCTCTGGGCAAGCTCACGGTCAGATTAGCCCTCCAGCCAGCCATTCCCAATCTGCACATCACAAGAAATTTGGTACTAATTATACCAAAGTTTGGGACTTATTTACTTCTTATGATTTTATAGTAAATTAGAGCTGATTCATGGCTGTCCCTATAATTAGATACCCCTCTGACTTGCATTCCGATACGCTTTGAGTGAGAACTGGGTGGGGTCATAGCTTGGGAAGAGGAAAGTTCCCAGAACCAGTAACCCATTTTGCCTCCCCTTGGGCACCTGTGGGAAAGAGTCGAGAGGAGATGCCCACCTGGCAGGGGAATCAAGTCTCAGAGCCGCTGTTGAGTGCATCTTTATTGTGCTTGATGCTGTGGCTTCTCTCCTGGCTTATTTCTCAAGGTGTGTTCCACAGAACACTGGTTCTCTTGCATGGATTTTGGGAGCCCGTCTCAGAGAACCCCAATGGCACTTTAGGGTATTCAAGGCTCTGATAAGTCCTGCAGCAAATAGACTGGTTTAACTTGGTTCAACCCATTGTTTCCAAAGATTTTTGACCGTGGGGACAGTGTGTGTGTGTGTGTGTGTGTGTGTGCGCGCGCGTTTAGCTGTAACACTGTTACCAAGCAGAACATGTTGTCTTGGGACTTTAAGTAAAGACAATCTCCCTGGTTCCCAGGCTAACACAGATTCTGAGGCCTGCTCCCAGGAGGCCAGAGGGAGGGCCTGGAGTTTGGGAACTTCTCAGAGGAGATGGGGTAGGAGAGGTGGAGACCTTCCGTTGCTCTGGAAAGAAGGAAGGGGCGTGCCACACTGGGAAGAGTAACCACAGAGAAGAAAGGAGGGCGTTCAGAAATTCACAGCTCCAAGGTTGACTTTGTATTCCCTTGTTGGGCTGAGAGGTATGTGTGTGACTGAGCTAGGGGAGGGCAGGCAAAGAAGGGAGAGGTCCCTGAAAGGCTCTCCTGACCTCTGGGCCCCCACCCCAGCTGCAGCGGTCTCCTCCCCTCACCCCCATTCGCTCCCCAGGCCTTCAGGATTAAGGACCTGGGCTGTCATTCTCTGGGTCGTTCCTCTACACACTTCTCTGCCTTTGGAATCCCTTTACCGACCTCTTGTGTCCTCACCTCAAATGTTCCTGAATTAATAAAAATAAAATGATGATAATGGTAAGAGTAATGACCAACACTCAAATGCACTTACGAAGCAGCAGGCATTCTTCTAAACACATTATATGTGTTACGTTTATCTTTATAACAACCCTATGAAGAAGGTGTGATCATTCTCCCATTTTCCAGATGAGAGAAGAGTCATAGAGAGGTGAAGGGACTTGTTCAAGGTCATACAACTAGGAAGTGGTAGAATCTATAAGGATCTGAGTCCCAAGGTGGAATGGGAGCATCAATCTAGTTGCCATTTTAGTTGCTGTGTCACCTTGGCTGGGCCACCTGCCCTCTCTGGATCTCAGTCTCCCCACTGGTAAAATGGAGGGGACAGGCTCTAGCGTCCCTAAGGGTCTTCCCACCTCTCTTGACTCTCAGCCCTCTCTCCATCAGCCTATCTTCTCAGACCCCCGCCAGACCCCGCAGGCCTCCTGGGGCCCTTTCCTGGAGGGGCTGGATGCCCCGGCCACACCCCCAGGGTGCCTGGCTGCCAACGGCCTTCGGAAGAGATCCCTGGGCCCCGCCTGGAAGTGGCGGGAGAGGTAGAAGCAGAGGTTGGGGCTGATGGCACAATTGGAGTAGGACAGGATGGTACAGAGGCTGGTGCCACGAAAGCCACCGGCATGGCAGGGAGGCCACCCACGGCTGCCACATAGCCCAGCATGGAGCAGGGCCCCCACATCAGCACAAAGACCACCAGCACCACAAGGATGAGCCCTGTGTTCTCCTGGTGCTCCTGGATGCTCTCCCCTCTGGGGCCACGAGGCTGTGTCCACATGAGCCAGCCCACGTGGCTGAAAGAGCAGCCCAGCCCGCACATACAAGGCAGGAAGGCCAGGCTCCCAGCAGGGGTAAGTAGCAGGAGGTCTGGGCAGGGCTCGGACGCAGGCCCCGATTCCAGCTGCCCCCTCCTGCACCACCACACTTTGGAACAGCCAGGTGGGCAACGACACGGCGAGGCCCAGGACCCACATGGCCCCACAGAGCAGCAGGCGGGCGCCCCGGCCAGCCGGGAGGGCCACATCAGCCGGGCCACCGCCACGTGGCGCAGAAAAGCCGTGGCCACCATGCTGTAGAAGGTGCAGAACGCGGTGGCGCTGTTGGTGGCCCGGCTGGTGATGCAGATGACAGGGCCCAGCCACCAGTCGGGCCGCAGGAAGCTCAGCGGTAGCACGGGTACCACGCAGGCCAGGAAGAGCAGGTCGGACAGCGCGATGTTCACCATGAGGCTGGTGGTCAGGGCGCGGAGTGGCCGGGAGGCGCCTGAGCTCAGGGCCGCCAGCAGCAGCATCAGCCCGTTGGCCCGCAGCCCCGCCAGCAGGATGAGGCCGCAGAGCCGGCGAAGAGCCGTCGGGGCAGTTGCTCGGGCGCGGCTGTGAGCCCGGCGGCGGTGAACGTGGCCTTGGGCTCCGCCCCCGCTCCATGCTCCCACTCCGGACACACAAGGACAGTGTGGAAACCAGCCCGAGGCCACCTTCCTCTTTCCCTGGAGAGCCCCCCTCCTTTCACAGCCCCCTGCATCCAGTGGGGGCCCTTGCTGGGAGTCAGTCACGTGAGACCTCACAACAACCCGACAGGACGGCCTCGGTCAGCGCCCCAGGTTCGAATCCAGACTAGGCTACTTAGGAGCTCCGTGACTTTGGGAAAGTTACCCAGTTTCCCCACCTCAGTTTCCTCAACTGTGAAGAAGGAAGGAAATAAAATAAAACAGATGTCAACATAACTGCTACAAAAGGGTGAGGTGCAGGTAATTTTCATTTTCCTCTTTGTAGTTTATTTCTACAATTTCTGCAGGGAGAAGAAATTGAATTTGGGGTGTGTGTGTGTATTTTTTAGATTAATTTATTATTTATTTATTTAGAGAGTTGGGGGAGGGGCAGAGGGAGAGAAGCAGACGCCCTGCTGAGTGCAGAGCCCGATGTGGGCTTGATCTCAAGACTCGGAGATTGTGACCTGAGCCGAAATCCAGAGTCGGACGCTCAACCGACTGAGCCACCCAGGTGCCCTATATATATATTTT